ATTATTATTATTATTATTATTATTATTATTATTATTATTATTATTATTATTATTATTATTATTATTATTATTATTATGTTATTATTATTATTATCGTTATCATTATCATCATTATTATCTAAGCTTTTCTGACATATATTGTTTACAACCAGATACTGTATATTCATATAAAGACTATGCACCTGATCCAGGACCTCATAAAACAGGATGTGCTAGGACTGAAGGGTATTATAAAATACCACCAGAAGAAAAACGTAAATACGTTACATATGGAATCGCCGGTACACCATATGCAAATGCCACAGCTCCAGCGCCTAGTCCACGTGAATCAAGAGCAAAACGACGGGAATTACATGCAAGGATGGCCACAGCATCGGAAGATTATCTTCAATTCAATCCGTTAAAATCACGAGAAAGAGAACTTACAATAGCAAAATCATCGATACATCATTATGGACTTTTCACTTTGGAAAAAATAAAGTGTGGAGAATTTGTGATCGAATATACAGGAGAATTAATTAGACAGGCAGTTGCAGATTTGAGAGAAAGAAAATATAAAGCAGAAGGGATTGATGGAAGTTATATGTTTAGAGTTGGAGATGATACAATAATCGACGCCACCAGAATGGGAAATAATGCTAGGTTAATAAATCATTCCTGTGAGGTAAGTTGTGTTTTGATTGAATTAGATTGTTTAAATTTTTTGAAAATTTATTGACTTCTTTAGTTTATCATGGGCGTTATATAAAAATTAAAGCCGAATTGTAATGCTAAGATTCTTAACGTCAAAGGACATAAAAAAATAGCCATATACGCGAAGAGGAACATACAAAAGAATGAAGAGATCACTTATGATTATAAGGTAAGTTAATTATAATTATTGTTATTATTATTATTATAATTATTATACAGTACTTTATATTAATTTACTTATTGATAGTTTCCAACTGAAAATTTTGATAAAATTCCGTGCCACTGTGGAGCGCCTAAGTGCAGAGGATTTCTAAATTAGTACTTATAACACCGGCTTACTCAATGTACTATTTTAACGTGAGTTAGATTGTTAATTTAGTATATTTTCTTCGTTGTCTCCGATGATGTTTATAATATAAAAATCGGTGTCTAATAACGATCAATTATAATATTGTTTTGCTCATTTAATGTTGTGTAGTAGTTTTAATATAATTTTGTTTGTATTATATATACAGTTGCAAGTGTAATTTTATAAAGTAGAATCTTCATTATAAAATAATAAGTTGCTATTAATTTTACTAGTTGTATAAATATAATAATATTACAATTGTTTAAAGTATATATTTATATAATTGATGTTTTAATATATATAATATATACAGTAGATATATTATAAAATATTTTAGAATATTTTGTAATAAATAAATATTTTAAAATCCATTATATGAATTTATTTTTTAAACTTTTAAATAGTTATACTGTATTATATATACGTATATACTGTATATATATTATAATATTATATACTATTGTTACAATGCTATAGCCTTCTTAGTATTATTATAGCAAAGTAACAAGGTTAGCCAGTGCAGTGATATACTTTATAAATATACACAGGGTGGATATGAAGTGTATACTATTTACTTTACAGCAGAAGGCAATCAGTTTGAAGTAAGAACAGTTTATAGATAAAGATATTTATTAATAACAAATTCATAGTGACAATCTTGCTTGTAGGAATTACTCTAGAAAGGGAATACTGTATTATACTTTACAAATAGAGAAGAGTCAAAGAGTAAGATTAGATTCTATAAAAGGGTAAGAAACTCTATAACTCTCTATAAGAGTGAAAAGAACTTTCCTTGGGTAAAAAGGCAAAGGTTTTTTTTTTATAACTTTTTTACAGATAGAGATGTAACAGAATAATTGTCTAAAGGTTTAGGCCACAGATAAGTATTTAGGTTTACCTAGATATATGTTTGAGTTCTTTTTCTTAGTTTTAGATTTAAAATATAAAACCTTTTTTGATTATGTAAGAAGTTTTTGTTAAATCTAATAAAGATAAGAGCATGGTCTCACCTTTAATATTAAAAAAAACAAAAAACAAAAAACTAAGGCCGGCCAGATAATAAAAATAAAAGCAACAGTATTTGGAAGTAGACAAGATATTCATGAATACTTGCTAAATAGACAGCTGCTACAAGAAATATTTAGAGAACTAGTAAAAGAAATGCATGCAAGTATACTGAAAACACCCAGAAAAACTGATTTAGATAAAAAAGAACAAATAAATGAAGTATGAACATTAAGATATTATGCAAATAACATACTGCTAACAGACAGAGAGCTCGACAAAGATTTAGAACAAAGAATCAAGAACTTGAATAAATAGGACCCAAAAATGGGAATACAATTCAATGATTTACTACCAAATGAAATATATAAATATAAAGAGGATCCAATAGAATATATTATGCAAGCTATAGCAAATCTAAAGATAGAATAACAAGAAAGGTACCAAGATCCACAAGAAGAAGCATTAAGAAAGAGGATGCATGATGAGAAAACAGAAATAATAGCTCATGAAATAAACAGAGTAAAAGAAAAATAGTTACTACAAGTAGAACCAACAAAAGCAAAACAAATACCTAAAACACCAGTAATATTCATATTCTCTAGAATGTTAAATACAATGAAGAGAAATCTTGAAGAATTAAAGAAAGAAAAAGATAAAAATAATACTGAAGAATTTACTGAAGATCTAGAAAGATTAATGATAGAAATATTAGATATAGAAACAGAATACAATAAAATAAATAAAATAAACTCTAAGGAAGTGTATAAAATGGTGAAACAAATAAAAAGTATACCAATGTTACTGACAAAAGTTAAAGAATTTAGAGAAACAGAAAGAGAACAATTGTTCAACTTTCTAACATAGTATAATAACCAAAAACTGATAACCAAAGGATCAATAAAGAAACAACTTAGAGCTAAAGAAGAAGAATATCAAGTGAATATTAAAAAAACACTAGAAATGAAAAATGAAACTTTAAGAAACTAGATAAATTTGATAAACAAGCTATTATACAGACCTTGTTAGCTTCATCTAAAATAGAAAAAAATGATGAAATTAGAGAAAAGCAAATTAAAAATACTTTGACTTTTGCTTAATAGATACAGAAAACAAGTTGCCCAAGAAAATAGTGAATGAAGAAGAATTACTCAAGCAACTAGTAAAAGAATCTAAACAACAAAAAGAAATTCAAAAAGAAAAAGAACAAAAAACAGACGAATTATATAAAAACATAGATAAAGATAGTGATACTAGTAGCATACTAAAAGATAAAGCATACCAAAAAGATTTGAAAAAATTTAATAAAAAATTAATCTTACAGAATAAGCCTGGAGGCTCATCTGTTGAGCCATTAAATGAACAATTAACTAGACTACAAAAAATCTTAGAACAAATAAGAAGTTATAGATATAGAACCAATAAACCAAGAAGATATATGATGAATGATTTCTCTAGTGAAAAATTAGTCAAAAGTGAAGCATCTAGAGATGATGAACAATTAATAAGAAATATAACAATGGGACTAATGAGAGAAACTAAAGAAAATCAAATATTCATAGATACAGATAGTATACTATGTATAGAACTATTAGATTTAAAAATACAGAAAATAATAGATGACTAAGATAAATATGACCAAACTTTTGAAGTAGGAGCAGATGGATACCTGAGAAGAAAAGATGATATAGAAATAGTACAACCAACAGAAAGACTAAAAATAGTTAAACTGTCACTGACACTATCCTTTATAACAAAAGAAATAAGTGTCGTAACAAGACTATTTAAAAAAGATAATAAAGATCTAGAGAAAAATGTAGTAAAAAATCAAGCTGTAACCCAAATAACAAAACTACAAGATGAATTTCAAAGAAAACAGAAAACATCCTTTGAGAAATGACAAGGAATATCAATAGAAGACTATAAAACTAAACTTAAAGAAGATAAAAAAAAAATTAGATGAAGAATATAAAATAATACAACAATCAAAACAACAAAATGAAGGACTGTCAATAGTAACTGACTACAACAAAGAGCCTATAGAAATAGGAATTGATAAAGACTCAAACTTACCATACTTTAGACCAGTACAAACAAGACCTGCAATATCTACAACTAGTAAAGGAAAAGGAGTAGAGTATGGATATGAGATCAAAAATATAGAATTGAAATCTATAGAATTTAAAAAAGAAATTAAATTGAAAATACATGAAGAATTAGAACATATACCTAATGAATACAGAAGACTTATAATACCAACTTTAGAAACAGGAAAACCTCTAAAAACAAAGAAAAATTATGTATTACAACCAAATATATGGACTACAATTAAAATAGATAAAAAAGAAAATTTCTTAATGAATACGAATAATCTGAAAGTTATACAAAAAGAACAACATATTGGAAATATAAAAGAAGTAAATAATATCATCAAAATTAAAGAATTATGTGAAACAAACAAATATAAATATGATATGAAAATAGGAAAAAAAACTTAACCGAAAGAGAATGACTTAAAGTATTATTGAAAAATACAAATAAAAGGTTTAGAAAAACATTAAAACCAATATTCATTAAATATATGAATATATTTAGAATGAAGAAAGAAAAAGGAATGGTATTCAATAAAGAATACTTTGGAAGACTTGAAGAAGTCGAGTTAGAACTAAATGTACCAGAAAATAAAATATCTTCAAACCATAAAAGTAGACCAATAAGAAATTACTCAGAAGACCAAATAGAACAATTGAAAAAATTATATAAAGAATTAATAAGTTCAAATATAATAGAACCAACAAGAGCCGAATAGATAGCACTGCTAGTAATAGTACCAAAACCTGATAAAAGCTATAGAGTAGCAATAGACTATACTATGCTCAACCAATACCTCAAGAAAGACCTATTTGAGATACCAAATATACCTGTAATACTTCAACAAATAGCAAGACAAAAAATATTCTTAACCTGTGATTTTAAAAGTGCATATTATCAATTTCCTTTAAAGGAAAATGATAAAGATAAAAGTACTGCATACTTTCCAGGAGTAGGAAAATTTAGATTCCTAAGATGCCTAATGGGAATTAGCAATGCACTTGCATTTATAATGAGATACATGTTTAAATTATTAGAAGATTTAAATTTTGTATTTGTATATATGGATGACTTAATGATAGGAAGTCAAACATATGATGAACACATTTTATATATTCAAACAGTGTTTAAACACATCAAAAAAGCAGGCCTAACCCTCAAGGCTAAAAAATATGAATAAATCTACTTTGCAAATATGAAGCTGATAATATTCTATTAAAAAGAAGAGAATATACAGAATAGGCTTCATACTCAACAAATCAAAATAAGAATTATTGTTGCTATTGCAAAAGACCAACCCTATCACAAGACCTCTATCCTATCGAAAGATTATATACTGACCTCTTTTTACATGAACTATTGTTTTTACAAAAATAAGTAGTATATAAAGGATGCTATAGTGAATTTTATGAAAATTTAGACTTAAGAGACCAATAAGCCCAAGAATATTATAAAGGATTAAGACAAGGCAAATTGACCAACTGCCAACTTTGTCAAAAACAACTTTAAAAAGAAAAGCAGAAAATTGGAACTTGATGTTTTTTTGTACCAAAAAACAAAAGTTTGTGTACAAAATCTATTACTCCGAAGAAATATTAGGAGATAACCAA